TCCTGGGCGGCTGCCTTCTCCCTGTGTCCCCACAGGTTCCTCCTCTGTGTGCATCTGTGTCCTTCTAAGGACACCAGTCAGATTGGATTAGGGCCCACCCACATGCCCTCATCTCACCTTCATTCCCTCTCTAAAGGCCCTACCTCCAAAGACGGCCACACTGTGAGGGCCTGGGGGTCAGGACTTCAACACGTGGACTTGGAGGGGACGCAGCTCAGCCCACTGGAGCAGGTCTTACCTAAGTCTCCTGGGGAAGAGCGGTTCTTTGCAGCAAGTTCATTTCCCGCAGCACAAAAGGGGGAGATGTGCAACACGTGAGCGCGGGGCTCAGCCTGGCTGTGTTCCGAGCTCGGGTGGCGCCGCACTGCCTCGGGGGCCTATGGGAGGCCCCTGTTTGCCCCCCCCAGGGGCTGGTGGGGGAGGTGGTGGAGGTGGAAGAGCTCCCCAGAGCTGCCATACGGATCAGTAAAGAAGACATCCACGGGGCTGAGACTGAGGGGAAATGTGGTTAGAGGCTGACAAAGGGAAGGGGACTGAGACGCCACACAGCAGGAGGCTTGGCTGTGAGAGGCGAAAGACCGTGAGTGTCCACAGGAGCACAGAGCTTGAGAGACAGAGGAGTAAAGGGATGTTATTCCCAAAGAGCTTCACCATGTTGGTCCAGGTAATGCCCAGCCCTTACTTTTCAGTACGCACATAGACGGCTGCTCAAGACCGGAGTGTGGTCTGCTGCTCCGTGCGGCGCCTGCACTGAGAACGCCCCGGAGGCGGGGCGCACGGGGGCTTGCTGCACTCTGGGCGCCCGCCCCTCTCAGGGCCCCTGGCCTTGCAGACGCGTGGGCCTGTGGCTCGCCTGCTTCCTGCGCCGTGAGCTCTCTGAGCACCAGGACCAGTCTGCCGTTCCCTCCGTGCACAGCAGAGGGATCGGAAGGAATTCCTGGATCGCTCTGAAAATGTACATACATCACTCACAACCGAATCAACCTAGACCTTTTTTACATCTGATTACTTTTCAACTTGCATCGCCTCTTAGGGGCACTGAAGTCATAATTCTTCCATTCCCCCAAGCGTCCTACCCAGGCAGGAGCTGCGTGGCTGTCTGAACTCTTCTGGGTTTGTGCTAAATGGGCAGATGTTGAAAGAGAAAGGCAAACAGGTGGCTTTCCCAAAGGAGGGGAAGGTTCTTGCACAGAGCAGGGAAGGGGGCACCCCAGGAGCTGGCTGGGAGGGCCAGAGGGCAGGCTGTGTGTCCTGGGCCTCAGCCTTATGAGCATGTACTTCCCAAGCAACGCCCTGCAGACACCTGTAGGAAAATGCCGTAAGTGCTGATAAAAGAGACCAAGGGAGACAAGGGCAACAAGGTGAGATGACAGAGAGGACACTTCAGCCCTCGGCCTGCTCCCTCCATCTGGTGCCCAGGCGTTCTGGGGCCACACGCTTCCTGCGCCGCCAGGGAGGAAGAGGCACGCACAGCAGAGGCCCGGGCCTGCCAGGACGGAGAGAGGCCAGACCCAGCGTCTGCGTGTGCTTTCCTTCCAGAGAGGCCGTGAGGCGCGCCAAGTGAGCAGCGATGGCGCACGGCAACCTGGGCAAGGCCAGGACTCGGCAGAGGCTCTTCCGAGGGGCGTCCGTCGCTGGCTGCGACAGCACCCGGCAGACCCGCTGCACCGCGCAGGACAGTTTTCATGGCCGTGTTTGGCTGCACAGGTCTCCAACACAGGCTAGCTGGGGGATGGAGACAGTTTTAAGACCCATTTGTGCACCATGAAAGCACATGTTTTCTGCATTCTCATTTTTTAAGCCAAAATAGAAAAAAGTCTAGAAAAACAAATGCTTTTAAAGCATAAGGTTTTCCTTGTGCCAATGTCCCCATGTGCTCCCCTGAAAATGACTCCCCCAGGCCCCACCCTCCACCAAAACGTGGTATTGCCTCCTAAAATAAAAACAAAAGCACCAGAGCCAGCAGTGGAGCAGAAAGCGTGATGGGACATTCCCCGGACACTTCCGCAGGCCCACTGCCAGGAGCAAGTGGCCATTCTGCACCCGGGGGGAAGCGCCGCGTTGCAGGCAGAACCTGGGTCAGCTGTGCTCGCCACGTCCAGGAACGTTCTCGTTAAGATGCAGCTGAAGTGATGCACTCAGCCAACACGGCTGCGAAACTGGAACCCGGCCCTGGGTGCAGGGTGAGCGCTCGCTGCTATTAACCGTGGCGTCGGCATTACGGGGTCTGCCGGCTCCTGGCATCTGCTCGGGCACAGGGCCACGCTGTGCGAGGGCACACCCTGTGTGCGAGGGAGGCGGCTAGCAAACAGCTGCAGGGCAGCAGGGGAGCTTCCTCTGCTCCCACTTCCTGCCCCGCCCAGCTGCGCAGACGGGGGGTGGAGGGGGACGAGCCTGCCCCTCCACACGCAGGGCTGCTGATGACAGCTCCAGACTGGCGACGTTCGGGGGTGTCCTCGTGAGTGATCTGGAGAACACCAGCACCCCAAAACAGAGCCAGATTCCACACGGCCTGGCATTTAAGAAGGACACCGTCTACATTGTTTAAAGTAAATAAAACACTGAGGAGATGAGAAAGAGGAAAGAAAAATAGATTTCAAACGTGATCCTTCCTTGAGGGAAGCGGCTCTTGGCATCTACAGGAGGCTGGGTCTGTGCTTGGCAGTGGACAGAACAGGCCCTGCCTGCCCGGCCCCTCTGGGTGGCCGTCCTGACCCCCCGCGTCCTCGCGGCAGCTGCTGCAGGAGCGGGCACAGGGCTGGAGCGGGCCCTGCGGCCGGCCCTCTGTGTGACAAGGCCTTGTGCCCGCGCCGGAGGGCTCTAGGTAGCTGGCTCCAGCTCCGGCGCTGTGGGGGCTCCTCCTCTTTGCCGGAAGGAGGCTCCAGTTCCTGGCGTTGAGGCACCTCGTTTTCCACTCCCGGGGGCCAGGCCCCGGCACACTCCGTGGAGTGACAGAACTAGTCTCCCTCGGAGGCGTGAGGAAAACAGGGACGGAGGAGTGAGAAACAGCAGGCTGCCCCACCGGCTCAGAGGACTGGGAATCCCCAGGGCTCACTCGGCCCTGAACGTCTGAGCATCTCTAGGGGCCAGAACCAGAGCCGGGCAGTCGGCCATGATGACACTGAGGGGCTGGGGTTTGAGCCATGCGTGGTGGCCACTCAACTTCTCATGCAACCTCATTGTCCAACCTCCTTTCCAACTCTGTCCTTAACACATGCTAATGACTAAATGGACGGAGCTGTCTGAGCTCTGCTTACTCAGCCTCTATCGAGTGAATGAGCAGTGAAACGCAAAAGTGGGCAAAACCGAGCAATTGTCTCCAAAGAACATACAAACCGAGTGGGTGCCTGCAGTTTGCCAACAGCAAATCTACCCACGGCGTGAGTCTGCCACGGATGGGGTGAAGGACTCCTGGCCCTGCAGAGACACGTACAAGAGGCCCCTTCTCCCCATGGAAGCTCCACAGGCTGGAGGAGGGCCCGGAGGTCACAGATTCAGAAAATGAGGTCTGAAATTCCCCAGGGGCTCGGGACACAGGGAAAGGAAGTTTATTCTAGAGATCCCCAAGGCCGGGCCTGGCGCTGGAGGAAGGCTTCCGGGAGGCCATCACGGTGCAGCGTCCCATGGTGGAGTCAAGCCATCCACGAACAAATGCAGGAAAGCATGGTGGGGCTGGGGGCAAGAACAGACAGAGAGGCCAAGGCGCAGGGAAGAGCAGCTCTAACATAAGGAGGTATTATAACATTGAAATGAAGAGGAAGAAAGACTAGTTAATACCTTAAGCGTTCTGTGCAATTCATTCATTCATTCAATGACTCATTCTCCTGCCAGCTTCAAGTTCATATCTTCATACTTAGGGGGCTGGGGGGCGGGCATGGGAAGACCAGGGGAAGGGAGACAGAGTTGGTCATTGCACTTCTGAGCTGTAGCTTCTAGTCACAGCACTCTTCAGTGTCTGGTGAGAGCAAACATTCAAACGGACTTTAGGAAAACGGTTCCCAGTCCTCTCGTAGTTAGTAAGAAGCCTAATCTCCTTGGAAGATGCTGGCTCCTGGTGCCCCTGCTTGGAAGGTCCCTCCAGAGCTGGCTTAGTGTCAGCTGTAGGATTCTTGCTGGGGTCAGCGGTTCTTGTATCTTTTAGGCCAATCTTCAGGTTCTGACAAGTGTATGAACTTTCCCCAAATTTTCATGGAACACAAAAGGAACTTTTGTGTGGAGGAACTTTGTGGGAGGTGTGGATTCTTGCTCGTGGTTTCTGTCTTGTCACTTACAGTCCTCTGCTGAGCCTCGCTGGAGGAAGGACGAGAACACCTGCTCTAGCTGTGTGTCTGGTGGAGGCGTCAGGGTGCCCCCAGGGCTCAGCTCGGGAGAGCTGGGTGCCAGGACCTGTCCTGCCACCAGCTGGCTCCCATGCCCCCTCCCACCACTGTGGGGGGTGGGGGGAGGCAGGCGTGGGAGGGAGAGCTTGGTCTAGACCAGGATTTCTCAAACTTGGCACTATCAATATCTTAGGACAGAAAATTCTTTGTCTCAGGGACTGTCCTGTGCATTGCAAGATGTTTGGCAACATCCCTGGCCTCTACTCCCTACAGCTCTGAGTACCAGAAGCGTCTGCAGACGTTGCCACATATGCCCTGGGTGGCCGGGACTGCCCGAGCTGAGGCCCCTGTGTAGACCTGCACTGTCTAATCCAGAAGCCACACATCATCACGAAGCATCTGACTGGTCCAAACTGAGACGTGCTGTAAGTATAAAATGTACACTGGATTTCAAACACTTAAAACACAAAAAGAATATAAAATGTCTCATGAATATTTTTATATTCTTTATATTTTACATTGATTACATGTTACAAAGATGCTATTTTTAATACATGGGGTAAAATAAAATATATTAATATCGAAGAATTCATTTTATCTTTCTTTCTTTTTTACTTTTTATAATGTGGCTACTTTAAAAAAAATTAAAATAACATATGTGGCTCCCTTTGTGGCCACATTAGATTTCTCTTGGCCAGTGCAGGGCCAGACACGGGCTAAGGTCCTCCTTGCTCAGATAATCCAAATTCCCTTTGAATGACTTACTACCGCAGGAGCAATAAATCATTTTCCAGTGCTATCTGCAGACAGCCAAGGGGTAACAGAGTGTAGACACAGAATCCCATCAGAAAATCTCCGAGTTGTGTTGAGTCTCCTCTGTGACAAACTAAGCAAAAGCTGCAGCGTCAGCGTTTAGAGGAAACGCCCTGCTCCATCCCACAAAGGAAGCAGCCCGGCCGTCAGCATCCTGCTCCGGCATGCTGGACGCACAGGCCCAGACACCCTGCCTCACCGGAACCTTCCACTCCCAGCTACCCGTAAGTAAGAGAGCGGGGGCTGCACCCGCTCTGTCGCCGGGACGGCAGGCTCCTCGCAGGACTCTGCGTAGCGATCTGCTAAGTGCTTTCCTCACTCGTCACCCTACGGCAATCGTGCTAGCTGCAAACTAGAACCCCTCCATTTTACACGTGACCAGTAGGAATTTTGCTTCAGAAACTCAGGGGATATGAGATGTTAACTTCTTCATTTTTAGCAAATCAAATTAAATCTAAGCCCAAATACCACACGTGGTCGGAAAGTCAACCTCAGCCCCTTTTGCCACTGTCCTGTCTCACACCAGCTCTTGCAACTGTCCAAAAGGCAAAGGTCGCAGGGTTGCAAGCCAAGGAGAACATTTAAGGTGGCTTCTCTGGTTCTCTGCTCCTCTGGTCATTCCTCATATGCCATTGTCTCTGCTCCCCTGTGTCTTAGAGAGCTTTATGTGCCGCTCACAGGCTGCACCGAGTGCCGCTCCTTTCTACAGCCTGGAGTCCCTAGCCCAGGATGCTCTCCCAGCCACAGGAAAGCACCCTGTCTTATCTCTGCTTGGCAGCTGGCTCCTGGCCCTATAAACAAAACAAAACCCAAAGCACCAGCCTCAATTGCCTTGCCCCCCCCACCCACACACACACACCATCCTTGGGCACGAGCTAGCATGGTCTCTGTAATGACTTTAAGCTTTCAAAACAAAATCTCGAGGGTGGGTTTGGATCCAGGATTTCGGTCCTGTACCACAAACCTCCCAACACGATGAGCTCAAAGGCCAGGCAGCTTTCTGGGAATGCAGGCATTAAAAAAGACAAAATGATGATGTTTCCACCAAGGGAGAAAAGGGGCTCCATAGGGTCAAGTAACTTGCTCAGTGTCATGTTTCTGGTAAGAGTCAGAGGGGGGACTCAAACCCCGGACCCCTGACTCCACTTAAACATATCATGTGCCACTCCTACTCCATTCTCCTTCCTGAAATCACCAGAGCCTGGAAAGAGACCTGCTCCACAGCACCGCAGGCTGAGGCCTAGGGAGGAGGCAGCGAGACCTCCGTGCCCTCGTTTCTAGTCCTAGAAGTTCCTTCCTCCGAGGAAATGCTACGCTCCCCACGACCAAGTTAGGGCACACATCCCTGCCTCCGGGGCCTTGCTAGAAAATTTAAACAAGACCTTCTTAAAAGTTGAGGCTAACACATAACTAAACCAGATCATCTGATTTATAAGATACTTTTTTCTCTCAGCAATCCTTAAAAATGTTTTGTTTTGTTTTTTAAAGTATGCAGTGAAACCCACAGAGGCTTCAAGGTTTCTGCAAATAGGTGATTCCAAACCGCATTTTTTTTCAGCTGGGTGGTGGTGGACAGAGGGGTTCCTTAGCAAAGCCAGTTTAGAGGAAGTATGGAATGCAGGCTTATCTGATCAGAGGTAGGGCTGATCAAAGTACTCTACCGTAAAATTACGGAGGGAGACTTACAGTTGGAAAGGATGCTTACCATATGAGTAGGCCTAACTTGGGGACTGTGCAGAAATCATCACTTGGAGTGCAAAGTTTATTAGAGCCGCAGAAACAGAGAGCTGCTGCTTGATGTCCCCACAGGAGACCAGAGTCACAGAACCTAACATAACTTCTACAAATGTGCTCAGCAAAGGCTTCTGTTGAACTTTAAAGAAGAAATGCACTACTCTATTCAATAATCTTACAAAATGCTACACAGCTAATAAGAGAACCGAAATGCTGTACCTTTTAAAAATAACATGGGCCAGGTGTGGTGGCTCACACCTGTAATCCTAGCACTCTGGAAGCCCAAGGCAGAATGATCAATTGAGGCCAGGAGTTTGAGACCAGCATGAACAAAATTGAGCCCTGTCTCTACAAAAATAGAAAAATTTAGCTGAGCATGGTGGTGTGTGCCTATAGTCCCAGCTACTAGGGAGGATGAGGCAGAAGGGTCACTTGAGCCCAGGAGTTCAAGGTTGCAGTGATCCACTGCACTCCAGCCCAGGTGACTGAGCAAGACCCTGTCTCCAAAAAAACAAAACCACAGAAAAAACATCCAGAAAAAGAAGTTGAGTTTCACAAACATGAAGTTGAATGAAAAAAGCTGTTCAGTGTGTACAAGAGTACACACTGAATGATTCCATGAATATAAAATTTAAAAAACAAAGGGGGGGGGAACTAACTGTGGAAAACCACTATGGAAGTTCTTCAGAAAAAATACAAAATGGAATTGTCACATTATCTAGCAATTTTGTTTCTGGATATATACCCCCAAAATTGAAAACAGGGTCTCAAAGAGATATTTATATACCAAAGTTAATAGCAGCACTATTTACAGTAGCCAAGGATGAAAACAATTCAAGTGTCCATCAACAGATGAATAGATAACAAAATATGGTCTATACATACGATGAAATATTATTCAGCCTTAAAGGAAATTCTGACACATGCTAAAACACAGATGAACCTTGAGAACATTATGCTCAGTGACATTAATCCAATCACAAAGGGACAATTTATGATTCCACTTATATGAAGTACCCAGAGGAGTCAAATTCATAGAAACAAAAAGGATGATGGTTGGCAAAGGCTGGGAACGGGGAGAAATGGAATTTTTGTTGAATGGGTACCGAGTTTCAGTTTTGCAGTGTGAAGAGAGTTCCGGAGACAGTGGTGGTGGCTACACAGCAGTGTACATGGACTTAATGCCACTGAACTGCCTACTTAAAAACGGTCATTGCCACAACTAAAAAATATTTTTTTAAAAAAAGGGAGGAAAATACAAGCAAACTAAGCTGTGCCGTGGATGAAGCTGGTGCTGGGGAGGGCACCGAGGTGGCTGCCCGGGAGCTGGTCGTGCTCTGTCGCTGAGCCGGAGCCCTGGTCAAAGGAGCCTTCCCAGCTTGTGAACTTTTATCAAACTGTACATTTAGGATTTGGGCACCTTTCTGAATGCATGTTATTCCTTACTTAAAAGTTTAAAAGATTATATGATAAAAGTTTATATGGACAAAAATAAAAACTTAACTAGATAAGAAAGGCCACAAGGATGAAAGAAAATCCAAATTCTATAATAATGCATGATAGATGATTATTAACTTTTGTACATTTTGTTCATTGAGTTTATAAAATAACTGTAATTTTTGTTCTCATTGCTACTCAGTGAGCAAGAGTAACCATCCAAAAAAAGTCAGTTTTCTTTTTTTACTTTCTCCTAAGAATCCCTCCCCCTGCTCAGCACAATCTGGCCTTAGTGAAGCTGTTGGAGAACAAAACAAGCTGAGTGTGTGGGGATCTCACAGTGGGGCTTTGCAGGGATTAGGTTAATCACAGGTGCACCCTCACCTGAAGCAGCCAGCAGCTTATTCATTAATCAGGCGCTTAACAGGCTGCTGCTCCAAGTTCCCCGCTTGGCCTGGCAGACTGGTGGCTTTGGATTGGTTCCCAGTTTGGGGCACCCCCCACGAGCTCCCCTTTTCCACCGTTTGCCAAAACTTCTCTCTGCAGGTATCTAGACCAGAAGCCCAGGTTCTGTCAGATTCTATTCTGTGTTGGATTCCCCATGCAGAGCTGACCGCTCAGGTTTCTGCTCCCGTGATTCTCCGATTCTCCGCCCTCCCTGACACCCGCCCCCACGCCGTTCTGCGGCTCAGGCTCAGGTTGTGGTCTGAACCAGTTTCTCCACAAGAGGTCCCAGGTCTGCAAACTCTTTCTCCCTGCCTCCTAGGCTTTCTTCCAAAGCTTTGCTTTCTGCTTTGATCTCACATTCCTTCCCCCACCTGACCGTAGCCCAAATGTGGCACAGGGCTCACAGAAGCCAGTTCTACATGTCATTACCATTTGTGCCTTTTTATCCAGCCTTAAAAAAATATATAATACTGACTTCTTACAATGTACTAAGCACCGCATTCATGCAATCTAATGCTCACATCTTCATCTGTGCCAGGGAGGAGACCGAGGCTCAGAGAAGTAATTTGCCCGTGAGCCCTGAAAGCGGCGAAGACGAGACGCAAGGTTGCCCGGATTTGGCGTGCTGCCCGTCACCGCGGGGATATCTGGAGCCTCGTCCGCACTCCGCTGAGCTAGAGTCTGCTGAGCTGGTGCCATTTTCCCCAGCGAGCTACGCGTGTGGAACTTGCTGGTCTTCTCCGACCACTGTTAGAAGAACATTAACAGCAAATCATGGAATGTTAAGGATTTAAAGAACTCTTCAGAGGCCCTCTAGTTGCGCCCTTTTGTTTGAAGCACCATCTATGAGCCCAGGGCCTTCTGTTTATCTTTGATTTCTCCCAAGTAAAACCAGGGGGCAGATGTGTGCAGCTCAGCAAGAATCCTGCTTTGGGGAAATACTTATGTCTCCAGAGTTGGGACTGGCTTTGCGTAAAACGACGTGGGGTGGAGAGGGGCTCTCTGATGAGCAAGGTGGAAGGGCATCTCCCAAAGGCACACTGAGCCATCTTTAAGCTGGGGGTGCTGCTGGGGGGCTATAAAACAAAGCAGATCTACATATTATTCCAGACTCAGCTCTGTCCTTTTGAGGAAGCCAGCACTAAGAGCTAGTGTAACCCTTCCCTGGCAATCTCCTACAGCTGGGGAGCAAGACCCCATGGCCCCTGCCAGGCCTACAGAGGACAGGCACAGGGCGCCGACGGCTCTGGGGAGCTACTGCTGCAGTCATGGCCCGGGCGGGCACCAGTAGCATCCAAAGAGAAGCAAGGCCAAAATTTTAGGTCAATTCTGTCAAAAGAGAGGAAGATTTATTTATTTATTTATTTTAGAATTTACTCAGGATTATCAGAAACGAGAAAAAAAAACTCCATTATTTAAAATCGAGCAGGTAAGGGGTGGGGAAATATTCATTTCCTAATGACAGGCTTTTGAAACCAAAGATCCAAATAAAGTGAAAAATAAAAAATGTTTCTTTCCTATTTCTACCAGGAGTGAAAATCCAGGAAGTGGACTACTTGCCTAAGCCTCCTATGAAAACGAGCCTCATCCACTGACGTCGCAATCCAACCTCCTCACTCCTGCTCCCCGGGCAGAGCAATGCTTTGTCCCACTCCACCAGCTGCCCCACAGGCACTGCCCCATTAAGCCCTGGGACCGGTAACTCCCAACTTAAGAGAAGCTGAAAAGGCCTATTCTGCACTGTTTTACACTAAATCTTTTTTCCAAGAAACTTCACTATATAAAACATTCTAAACTTGGGAACACTAACTTTTGCATTATTTCCTGCCCGGCAACAGAGCTCAGAGCATGATGCTCTCCTCTTGCCAGATTTGGGCTGGCTGGAAGAAAATACCCGTTCCTCTTTGAGCTTCTTTCCATCACTTGTAGAGACAAACTGCCCAGCTACCAAAATGAAATGTTTCCCAGGTTTTCCTCCCACACCTATGACCTTTGTTCCTTGATTAAATCCTGGATTCCCCTCTAAACAGAACTGGACTGTGTCCAGCCTATTTCTTCATGTTCTTCAAACATTAGCCCAGCAGATGTCGGGTTTGTGTGGGTTTTTTTTTTCCTCCCCCAAGAGGTTTTTGTTTGGCTTTTGAGTTGGCTCCCGGGACTCTGAGTGGAAAGTCTGCAGCAAGTACCCCATCCCGCCCTGCCACCCCCAGCAGGGCAGGAAAAGGAAGCCTCTGTGTGCACAAGCCTGTGGGCGGACTCAGCCCTTGCCATGGCCGCGCCTCCCTCTCTAAACACACTAAGGAACTTCAAGGTAGCAGGAGAGGAGAAATGAGCAACCTCCTCTTAAGCTGGTAGCATAGACAGGCCAAGAAGGACAGGGACACGGTCTGGCAGGGACACGCTGGGCCACTCCTCTCCCACAGCCAGCCACACCAACGCTGCCTGACCTTTGACATCCTCCCCCATGCAGGGCTGGTCCTTTGAGTAGGCTGAGGGGACAGGGGTAGGCTTACCAAGAGGAAGGAAACTCCCCAGTAGACCCTGGGGAGGAAGGCCTAGGGGCCTGTTCCCCGCAGAGCTGGGGACCCGCAAGGCAGGAGCCATTAGAGGGCAGCAAGTGCCTGTCTCATAACACCCAGCAGGCTCGGTTTGGGTTTTTTTGTTGTTGTTGTCAACCCTTCTCCTCCCCCCCCACCCCGCCCCAATTACAGGATGTATCAAAAAGCAAAAGCACCAGGGCTTTTTCAGCGTCAGCAGAAAAGCAAGTTAGAAAGGCCGGTGAGCGGGGATGGAGGTCAGGTGGCGCCCAGGGTGTGCGAAGATGGGACCAGGGAGGTCGCTGCTCCCCCCCTTCACAAGCCGAGGAGACCAAGCATGGAGCCCACGCAGTGGGGAGGCTCGGCGCCACGCCCTTTGTGTCACTTGGCTCTTCTGACTGCAGGAACGGAGGACAAAGGAGAGCCTTGGTGCTGGCAGAGCTGGGGGCACGGCTGGGCTTTACAAGGAAGGACGAAACTCGATCCCAGCAATCTGGATAGATCACCGTTGCAGTCTCTGAGGTGACCCAATTCTGAGAGGAGCCGCTTGGCTCTGAACACACGAGTATCACAATCCCAGCTCGCATCCCCGCCTTGCCAGAGAGGTAAGAACGTGGCACCCCTCCACTGGACAACGGAGCTGCCACTGGGGCAACCCCTGCCAGAGCAGCTCCGCATTTCAAAGGGCTCCTGGGACACCCAGCGTTGGCCCTGTCCCTCCTCCTGCCCCCCAGAAAGGCCTGGGCACATTAAAGCGTCAAGCTGAGGTGAGAGGTGACTAAACCCCAGCAATGAGGTCTCACCAGGGCCCACAAGCCAGGGGCTGGGGGGGAGGTCCTCACTCCCTTCTCCCCACCCCCATGGCTCTTTCTCTTTCCTCTCTAGAGATGAAGTCCCTCCCCCTGGCCTCTGCATACAACAGGTGAGGTTTGGCCAGTCCCTGCTTCTGCTGTTGTTTAGGCTGTCACCATGCCACACCTGGGGGTTCCTTAGGGAACGATTACTACTTGTCACATCACTCACAAATGTTTCGTTTTCAAATCCCACCCCTCCAGGCCAGGCAGTGGGACCTCAGGAGGCCTCTGAGCAGCTAGGTTCTGTGCTCTGGGTGCTCAGGCTCTGCCTCTGGGACTCGTCCTCTCTCCTCATTCATTTCAGTAGTCTCAGCCGAAAGAGGCTGAGGAGCCTCTAAACCGTGGCGCGCTGAATATAGAAATAGCGCCCACAATCTAGAAAAGAGTGCACTTGAAGCTGGACCGGGAACCTCCTGTCTCTGGGAGGGCTTCCAGTTTCCAATAGCGTTGGGCTCGGCATTCAGACTAAATTTCCCACTGACAATCATTTAAAAACCTGGATAAAATATAAGAGAACTCCCAATCTTTCAGTTTTTCTTGTTAAATATTGACAAGTAATACTGCCTGTTGATATAAGGAAGAATGAGGGTGTGAGTCATTCCTCTCCACTCAGGCGACAGAAACAAAATTATTGGTGCTATAAATCAAAAGTCAAACTGATGTGTAGTTTTCATAAAATTCTCCTAATAAAATTATCCAAAAAAAACTATTAAGCTGGACAAAAATTATATTGCGTGCACATTCGCATGATTTCCTCTTTGGCAGGCTAATTCCACCTAGAAAAGAAGACAGCCCTGTCACTTTCCTCTGGGACGTCCATGTCCTCTAGCCGCTTGCCCCTCCCACCAGAGAGTGCAGAGAGCACCTGCCCTGCTTGTTGGCAGCCATGATGGAAGAAACCATTGGACTCCACTTCAGCCCTCCAATGTCCACATGAAACAGCCATGAGACAGTCTCCAGACCTGTTAGGTTTTTAGTCCGACTCACCAGAGTAGCTTTTTTCTTCGCCACTGTGATTTGGGCACATCTCTGAGGTTTTTGCCCCTCTAAGATAGTAGAAATAATGGTAACTGCCCATAGTGTTATTATAAGGATTAAATAAGATAATACAGATCAAACATGTAGCACCATGTACCAATACTAAGTGCCCAATTAATGTTAGTTATTATTCTTGATTAGTGTTAGCATCAACCATAAGAGATTATGACTGCCATCTTCTTCAACCACATATCCATGTTTGCATCTCTTTTGAAACACTCAACCAAGCATTCAGACTTTTTCAAAGTGAGATGTACTTCCTCATGAGGCAGACCCATCCATCTTTGGATAACTTTGATTATTGCAAAGTGCACGTTTGTGTTGAAAATGAAGTCTGCCTCCAGGGAGCTTAGTTCTCCTCCTGAAAGCCATAAATCTGATTTCCCTTCCTCAATGTGCGAATGCAGTTATCACATCCTTTTTTCACCTCACTCAGCCTCCCTAGTTCTTTTCCACCTGTCATGGTTGCTCTTGGCAAGTGTGGATGGTTGGTTATTTCCTTCTCTAGTATGGCGGCTGACACTGTACTTCTCCAGTGAAGCCTAACCTCAAGCGGTCTTTGTGGGGTCCACACATGCTGGTGGCTCCTTTTTGCCCTACTTTTGGAACCATTTTAAGTCTTTTCCCTGCTCAGCCACAGCTCCCCACCCTAGTCTTGTGCAACTCATTTTCCACCCAAGTGAAGAAAGTGACATATTTTCTTACTAGATTCAGCCCCATTTCCATGCTTTCCAAGATGTTTTTGGATCTTGATTCTGGCATCCTAAATGTCTCTCAACATTGAGTAACCAACAAATCTGGTTAAGAGTGACTTTTATGACTTTCCATGGGTAGCGTGGTGAAACGTGAGGTTGAGACACGGCCAGGGAGCCCTCCCTGCTGAGGGGACCCGCCCTCCCTCCCAGCCACCTCCCCCGGCCTCTCGCCCTACTGTGCACTGTCCGAAGCATTTTCTGCCCCGTCTGGGACTGCACAGCAAGTGGCAAGGGGGGAGTCAAAAGCCCTTGGTGAAAGAGAGAGGGACGTGTGTGGGGGGCTGTCGGGGGTCTTGAAGCCCAGAGGGTAGAGGGACAAAAAAAAAAAGGACTGAGCAAAATAGGGACAGTAAGGAAGGAAAAAACAAATTAAGACCTAAATAATTGGATAAGTTAAAAAGAGAAGAGGGAGAAAATGTCGGAGGAAGTAGATAGGGATTAACAAAAGAATTTAAAAAATGGATAGCAGAAAATACAGCCTGACGAGGATGGCGCGATGGGCACAGGCAAGGGCACTGGGAGATGTGAAACACCAAGGCAAGAGGGATAGTAAAGCTGCCAGACCCAGGAGAAGTTCTCCAGGCCACCTCCGTGGCCACGGGACTGCCGGTCACTGGGTTACATGTGTGACACCAGAGCGGCTGATGGTGACCTCACCCAGACAGAGGAAAGAACTCCGCAACCAAGATGTATTTTGATGCTGACAATGTTGGTTTCATGGAAGGGTGTTTTCGTGTCCTGAAAATCTGTGGACATGGGAATATACACATCAGGCTTTGCTGAATACACCTGTCTGGAAAGGGCAACGTGTATTTAAAACAATCTCTGAAAGCAGAAACCATGATCCTACTCTGTTTTGAAGCTCCAGGTTTACGATGTAAACTCAGCAGAAACCTAGCATCTCTTCCCATTGGAGGCTGCCCCAACATTCGGGAATGAGCCTTCGGACAGACGTTTGCTGAGCGGACATGACTCCCGGGGCAGAGTGAAACAGCGCCGACCGCCGGGGAGGGCTCCGCGGGCTCCACGTTCGACGTCCAGGGAGCCTCGTCACTCAGCTGCCTGCCGCCTCGCGTGGAGGGGGAGCACCCCTAGGTCGCGAGGCCTTTTCCTTATATACGCACCACGTGTCATTTCATACCCATTGGAGTTTAATATGCTTGCTGTGTTCACCTCGCCTCCCATATCGGTAAACGCACAGCACTGCAGAGCACAAGATGCTCAGAAGAGACTTCTTTGAAGTAATACTTCCCAAACATTTTGACTCCAGCTTACAGCAAAAAAAAAAAAAAAAAACCATTTTACATCCCTATCCAGCACACACATTTTCTCTCTCTCTCCACCCCCACCTGAAACAAACATTTCATAAAACATATTTAATCTTACTATATGTAATACATACAATCTAGTATTTTCTATTCTGCATCATTATTTTAAAATTCTAGGCATAGCTTACTAGCAGGTTACAATTCACAGTTTGAAAAGCATGGACTAAGGGGCTTCCAAATAGAGATGACAGATTGAATGTACACATTTAGCACCACTCCCTTCAGGGATCCCATTAAAATGGCAATAGGCCAAGCATGGTGGCTCACGCTGTAATCCTAGCACTCTGGGAGGCCAAGGTCAGTGGATCGTTTGAGCTCAGGAGTTCGAGACCAGCCTGAGCAAAAATGAGACCCTGTCTTTACCAAAAATAGAAAAAATTAGCCGAGCATGGTGGCACATGCCTGTAGTCCCAGCTACGCTGAGGCAGGAGGATCACTTGAGGCCAGGAGTCTGAGGTTGCCGTGAGCTAGGATGATGCCACGGCACTGTAGCCTGGGCAACAGAGTGAGATTCTGTCTCAAAAAAAAAGAAAAAGAAGGGATCAATGAAACAGAATAGAGACACTAGAAATAGATCTGCACAAATATAGTCAACTGATCTTTGGCAAAGGAGATAATCTCTTCAACAAATGCTGCTGGAACAACTGGACATCCACGTGCAAAAAAATAATAATAACAATCTAGACAGAGACTTTACATCCTTCACAA